CATCCAATACTATCCATTGAGCATTTATTACATGCCACTTGTCACGCTAGTACTTGTGAATAAAATGGCCAGAGAAACACATCCCCTTCTCTTCCTTCTAGCCTAGAAAGCAGACCACACATGAACAAACAAACAAAAAATCAAAGAATTATAAAGTGTGGTAGTGGCCATAAAGGAACAAACACAAGGTGGGAAGATAGAGACAAAGGGACAGTGGTGGGTATAGATGATGGTGGCCTTAGAGAAGGGCATGGATTGGAGATATTTTTGAAGGTGTTTCAAAAATATTCAGGTGTCCGGGGTTGACAACGAATGGGACTGAGAAAGGGCAGCCGGTGGAGGGAAGGAACACGGTGTCAGCCCAGTGCCGTGGTGGCCAAGAGAGGATGTAACTAACACGTGCCTGGTTGGTGGCTGTGAGGCATTGGCTGGCACAGGCTCCCCTCCTGGCTGGACAATATGTAGTTCTTCATGGAAACCATTTCCACTCAATGGAAGGAAAGAAAGCCACCCACGTGGGCTCACCTAGTTACTGGAACTGTCGTGCTTTGGGGATGCGGACAGGAAAGAGTACATCCCTGCCTGACACTAGTTCTTTAATCTGAGTAGAAGAACCGTCAGAAATGCACGCACCCACCCCAGGGCCTGGCCAGGCAGATGGGCAGATTTCTGAAGACCTGAGCCCCTCCAGGACTGTTCAATTGGAAACAGATTCTCTCCTCGCTTTATCTCTTTTATGTCCCCATCTCTCTCGGAAGGCTGGCCACAAACTTGCTCGTCCCCGATGCTCTCTCAAGGACAGAGAAACCCATTAGTGAAAAGTTACTGTCTGGGAATTCTCGGTTGTTTGCATTCCTACCTAGTCACCATCTCTGGTCACAGTCACTGGTTCCCATCGGGGAGTCACCAGTGGGTGGCCTTGCTTCCCTCATGCAGCTTTGCCCTCAGGAGAAAGTAGAGGATTTTTACCAACTTGAAGAGCAGGTGGTCCCAGCTACTGCTCACCCAGTGTTGGTCCATCAAACGCCAGCGCCAACACGTGAGAGGGGGAGAGGGAGTATGCAAAAGACACCAGAAAATGCTTGACTGACGTGCGTGTGCCTTTGGTTTCATGATCAGGTTCCCCTCCATGAATTTATTACCTGTGTTTATGGGGGAAATGAAAATTCTCACGCTGAAAGAGATTTTTTCCTATTAGTTTTAGAAATTGGTGAACATTGCTGCCTAATGTCAGGCACTGGCCTGCTTTTGAAAATCAGCTGGGCAGTATCACATGTTAAAACTGCCTGTGTGTGCATTTTGCGTGATCCTAGAATGCGTAAGTCCTTGGGCCTCCAGGTCTGGGAGGGCATTCCAAACAGAAGGGCATGAGCAAAGGAATGGAGGAGAGAAATCACACGGGGTGTGGCTGCGGAATGGCAGGTGGCTTGGTCTTCCTGGAGCACAGAGTTTGTGGCAGGGATGTGGGTTGGGGCTGCAGGGGCCAGACCATGGGGATCTCGCAGGCTGTAAAGGCTCTCGGGCTTTATTTCATAGGTGATGGGAAGCCACTGATAGGTTTTAAATTGGGAGTGACAAGGTTGGATTTTTTTGTGACTACTCTAGGGGCTGAGGGGGGTGGAATTTGAGCAGCCTCAGGCCAGGAAGGAGAGCTATTGGAGGCTCTAACTCAAGTGGAAGATGTTGACAGCCTGTGGTGGTCGGAAGACAATGCGGTGGGCGGGAGAAATATCTATATGGGAAGTGAAATGAACAGGTAAGGGATTGCTTCTGAAAAGCAAAGAGGTTAGTATCAAGGATATGTCCCAGGTTTCTAGCATGTGTGAATGGGTGGGTTGTGATGTTGCCAACTGACACAGAGGAATTGAAACACAGGCAGAGCTAGCCCGATTGGGGGGATGGAGGTTTCCCCTTCAAATATTTGAGTCTGAGGTGCCTCTGGTCATCTGGGTGGCACAGGGCAGTAGGCAGCAGCATACAGAACCTTGAGCTCTCAGAGCAGGGGTAGGAAGTGTTGGCCTGGGGCCAGAATGCACGGATTCCAAATCTGGCTTCATCACTTGAGAGGCCAGTTTTCATGAGGTCGTGCAGTCCTGACAAGTGACCCCCTAGTCCCAGTGGCTTACAACAACAAACTTTTCTATCCTCACTGACATATGTGAAGGCTGTGGGGTCAGCTTTGGCTTTGCTCCATGTCTCCCTCATGCTGGAACCCAGGCTAAAGGGGCACCCCCATCTCAGCCTTAGGCAGACGGAAAAGCGGAACAGCACAGCCATGCGATGACTCTCAAAGCTCCCGCAGCTCGGACAGAGCATGCGTCCCTTCTGCTCACACGCTATTGGCCAAAGCAGGTCACGTGGACAAGCCTGATGTCCCGCCCACTGGCTATAAAACCTTGGGGGTTTACTCAACTTCTCTCTGCCTTGCTCACCTCATCTGTGAAATAAGAATGACAGGACTACCTCTTAGGATTGTTAAGAGAATTCTCTTAGGGCGTACACGCAAAGCGCTTAGGACAGTGCCCAACACAGAGTGAACATTGTGTAGTTGTGGGGGATGGAGGGGGAGGTTCGTGTTTAATAGGTATGGAGCGTCAGTTCGGAAAGTTGAAAACATTCTGGAGGCGGCCACTGCCAATGGTTGCACGACACTATGAAAGCACTGGATGCCACAGAACGACACACTTGCAAGTGGTTACAATGATAACTTTTATGTATATTTTACCCCAATTTGAAAAATGTAGGTGGATGGGATCACCTGGGAAGAGAGTGAAGAGTAGGGAAGGTGGAGGTAGAAAGAGAAAATCTTGGGAACCAGCTATGAGGGCAGAAGCATCGAGAAAGCGGTCCGCATGGGGGACAGAGAAGGAACATTCTGGACAGATGAGGAAAACCAGAAGAGGGTGATGTCCCTCAAAGCCACAGAGTTTCCAGTAGGAGGGAGGGTTGGAGTGATTAGAGTGTCCCTTTTGCTTGACTCTGAACCTGAACCTTAGCCGACAGAGCCCCCTGCCCTTTGGCACCTTGATCTTGGTGGCTCTGCTTGATTCTGCCACCTCCTGGCGATGTCACTTCTGGGCTCTGCTAACACCTGGTCCAGGCTGTTTCAATGTAAGATCCTGGCTGGGTCCCTCTCCTGGCTCCCTCCTTCCCCTCTCCCTAGCCAGTCCTGTGTTGTCCATTGTTGACATCTTGGTGAGACAAATCATTTTTTAATTAAAAAGACAGATTTGGGGATATCTTATGTCATTTTTATTGCTATTGATGTATATTTTTCTACTATGGAAAACAAAAAGTTCTATACTTTGAGTTTAAACATTAAGGATGGTTAGCTTATGGTCACAATTTCTTTATTGACAAAAGAGTTCATCTTTTGTTTACAGAACAGTAACTATTTGATAGATCATAGATTAGGGAAACTGAGAGCCACACTTGTACAGTGGGCAATGAAGACAATGCATTTGCATGGAGAAAAGGGTTTTTTTTTTGCAATGAGATTACTTTTGCACCCACATTTTAAAGAATCTAAGGAGGATGCCTTGGTCTAGATGATTTCTTCCCTTTGCCCTGTTGCTTCTAGACATTGTCTGGGTGATCATCAGATGAGAATCAGAAGGCTGCACACAAAAGCAGTGGTTCTTAGCTCTGTAAAGAAAAAGGCCTGGGTACTTTGCTTTTTTTTTCTTGATTTTATTTCTCCAAGAGTTTTCTTACAAAGTGAATTGACCTTGCACAGTTAGCTTGATGTAATCTTAAGAAAATATATGACGTATGCTTTAGAAAAATCATACATGCTCTAACCAGCCATCTCATTTGGCAATCATTTTCCATAGCGTTTGTCCTTTCTGGGGTGGGGAGGTGGGGTTATTTTTACACGTGAACGATGACATCTACATACAAGAGATCCAAACTCTTGCTAACCTCCCTCTGCAACACCAGCTGGTATGGGGAGACAGCACGGGGTGGGGAGGGGGGTGTCTCTTTCCAGGACTTCAGTCACCCCAGGCTGTTTGGCCATCAGTCCTCAAGTGGCACCCTGGGATGACCTGGCTGAAGTCTGAGCAGTCCTAGCAGTTCCTCTCACAGTAACAGCATTTATGGAACACATAGGAGGGGCTCAAATGCATCCTGTGGAGGAAGAGGGACTGTTTTCTTGTCCCCTTCTGCAGTCACAGGACACTGCAGCTGGAGAGCTGTCCCCTCCAGGGTTCCACAGCTCTAGGGCCTCACCCAGCAGCCGTCATATCATCTCCCACTCCCAGAATGCAGAGGCCACTTTCTAGCCCTCTGTTCAGCAATGTAAGTATCTGGAGAGGTTTTCAATCCAGAAATCATGGATTGAAAGGAATAGCTGCTCCTCTTCTCTGGAGCACCGCTCAGCAGTTCCAGCTGTAACCCTAAATTGATTCTGAAGCAGCAGATGCCGTCCTGGGTTTACTTTCATCCACCCAGTCAAGCCAGTGTGGACGGGCCTATATGAGGACACAGAGACCTACACGGGCTATTTTTTTGTCTTCTCCCAGTCAATGGTCATAAATTTGCCCACTTAGCAAACAAATTTGGAGACAGGGATGGGTTCCTGACTCAGCAGCTGAGGTGCTGCCCTTAACCCTCCTTATACTGATTTTCCCCGGGGTTCGGGGATAACCAGGGTCCCAGATGTCGAGCCCAGAGAGGAAAGGTGGGCCAGGTTGTGTGTGTCTCAGTCATTTCCTTTCTTTTGGAGCATTTGCTTTCATGAGTCACCAGCTGGTTCCAAGGCCCCTCTCCCAGCAGGCCAGGTGGTGTCCAGCCCTGGAGGAAGCCTGGCTCGTAGGAGGAAGGTGGTAGGAGGAGGTGTGGGTGGCAGGCAAGAGACCCTGAGAAGCAGTGTCCCTGGAACTATTTCCAGGCTTGTCCTGTCTGGTAGGATCGCTGTGTGATTCCACAGGTGTGTGGGAAGCAAAGGCCCTGGGAGGGGGCTGCTAAGACAGAGGAATGCTGGACAGAACTTTCTGGGAAACTCTGGGCAGCTTTATATCCAAGGGTCAATGCAAGATGTGGAGAGGCTGCCCTGGGATGAGTGGGAAGAAGGTGAAGGTGGGATGGGGGTGAAAGTAGTTGGGTAGAGGGCTCAGTTCTCGGTCTTTTTTATTCTCCACGGAGAATCTCACTCTGAACTTGGAGAGGCTGCAGAGTCCCCATCCTCTGGGTCCTGCCCATGGGGGGAGATGGGCTGACCCCCCTTCACGCGCTTCCACTTCATCCTTCGGTTCTGGAACCACACTTTGACCTGAGGGAAGAAGCAAAGGAGCCTGGTCACTCCAGGGCTGGTGTGACCCCCTCCCCACATCGATGCTCAGGCTGGCCAGGGTACAACTCCAGGGGACCCTAGCTTGGAGCCCTCATTTGCCACTCTCCACTCCCCAAAAGGCCCCAGGAACTAAGACCAAAGGGAGGACACACGAATCTGCCCACAGGTCTGTCTTGTGTCTCCATATAAGCCCCAGACAGACCTGGAAGCAGGTTCTGAAAAGCATTGGCCCCACCCCATTTCACATGCCCCGCCCATCCTCTGTGCCTACAACCCCTCCCTCCAGCCTCCATTCCCCAAGGGTCTGGGAGCCTCATCCTTAGGCACAATTATTACACACTTTTTAGGTTCGATAGCTCTGGTCAGCACATTTTCTCATCTGAGCTTCAGTATTACTGCATGCTGGAATTACAACCCCATTTTACAGATGGAGACCTGGAGGCCCAAGGCTAGGAAGTGGTTGAGGCAGGATTTGAATCTAAGTTTTCTGATTCAAAACAGAGCACTCTGGCAGAGCTCTCTATCAACCACATGCTGCTATCAAATATTATTGTTATTATTAGTACTGATATTTCACATCAGAGCATGGGCGTGGGTGGGATGCACTGAGGAAAAGCCCAAAACAAAGGACCAGGCAGTTTTTCTCAAAGCGTGCCCAAGAACCAGCTGTAAATCCAAATCACCTGGTGAATTTATGAGAAATGCAGATTCCTGGTCCCACCCATTATTACTGCAAAATCACTCTCCCGGAGCTCCAGAACCTGCATTTTGAACAAGTGGCTCAGTGATTCCAATGCAGTCAAGTTTGGAAATAACCAGATCAAAGGTTCCAACCCCAGCTGCAATGAGAATCACCTAAGGCAGCGGTCCCCAACCTTTTTGACACCAGGGACCATTTTCATGGAAGATAATTTTTCCATGGACCGGGGAGGTGGGGGATGGTTTCAGGATGATTCAAGCACATTACATTTATTGTGCACTTTATTTCTATTATTATTATAT